CTTCAGGTCCTCCTCAGTTTCAGCAAGCAGGGTTGTGTCATCTGCATAACGCAGATTGTTGATAGATCTTCCACCAATCCTGACGCCACACCTCTCCTCATAGAGCTCAGCCTCTCAGATAATCTGTTCTGCATACAGATTGAAAAGGTCTGGAGACAGGACACATCCCCGGTCTACGCCCTTCTCAATTTTGAACCATGCAGTGTTTCCTTGTTCTGTTCTGACAACTGCTTCTTGCTCCAAGTATAGGTTTAGCATTAGCACGATCAGGTGTTCTGGGATTCCCATTTTTCTCAGGGTCAGCCACAGTTTGTTATGATCCACACAGTCAAAAACTAGTTCCCTTCTTTTTGTGTTTCTAATTAATGTGTTTAATGCTACCAGGTATATTGAGATTTTTCTAGTTTTTTGCACAACACTAGTTCCAAAAGACGTTCCACATTAAGTCAATTTTATAGTCAAATAACATAGGAACTAGTTGTCTATCTGTGATTTTCTCCTTCTAAATGAAGACTTGAAGATGCCTGGAAAGAAATCCGTTCAACTCAACACTTGCCAAGCCTTTGACTACTAAATCTTTTTTTACCTTATGTTACTAGTCTATCAGAGAATGAGCAGAGCTAACCAGCTTGAGATCGCAAAGGGTAAAGTAGCAAATCCCTAGACTTTTGAGCCTGGGTCTCCAACGCAGGATCTCAGGTCTCAGTTAGTTAGTTTTAGGCAAAGAACATGTCTCTGTGTTAACCAGCATCGTAGAAAATAGCCTGCAACTCTGGCCTTGTGCTCAGCATAGCTGGACCAAATAATCCAAACTATTGCACTGTTCATCATAAAAGCAAAACACCAGAAACAAATTCTGCTTTGTAAAAAATACTATGATGTTTATATCTATTACAAGTTATTCATTCCAGTTTCCTCATCTAACTCTGAATAGATTGAACTCTTTAATTAGAACTAGTTCTTATTTCATTGTTGTCTGCACACTGCCGGGATCACTCCAGGTTACAAAAAAATGTACACTAAATGCCTCCTGTATCAATCAGTGATTACCTCTGATCCAAGATATGATTTGCCTTGTATTAATTCAGGTGCTGCATAAGCAAGACTCCCACAGCACGTCTGCAGGTGGTAATCCTTGTTACCCTACAAATGAAATAAAAATGAAACATTTCTTAATTACAGACCTTAGAAGAATTAAACTTTCATAAACAATCCTTTGAGTATGGCAAAGCTAAATGTAGACCCACTCCAATTAATGTGTTATTTCTGCAGCCAATCCAATGCTCTGTGCATAGGTCCATGCGCACACACACAGATGTAGCCTCCTCGGGTTTCTAATACCACTACAAGTTAGCACCTACCAAAACCTTTATCCCTGAGTACTGCTCATTGTTGTCAGCACACAACCTCCAATCAGGTTTCTGCAGCTATAAATCAGAACAGGAGGCGACTGCATGTCTTTCTTATTAGAGTTACTGGTGGGTTCAAACATCCAGAGGCATGCAGCCTTTGGGTTAGGAGCTCAGCCCACTATACTCTGCCACCAGAGTGCTCTAGTTCAATCAAGTCAGGTTCATATTTCCCTAGAAATCAATTTGCATATTAATACAAAGACTCCGCGTACACCCAAGCACCCGAAGATATGAGCTATTTCTTTACAAGACTCCAGCTCAAATATCTGAGACGCCCTGATGGCACAATGCTTAACTAAGCACTTAGCTGCTAACCAAAATATCAGTGGTTCAAACTCACTGCCTGCTTTGAAGGATAAAAAAACTTGATTATCTGCTTGAGTAAAGATTTCCATCTACAAAGTCCTATTGCACAATTCTACTGTCCTGAGTCACTGAGTCAGAATCAAATTGATGGCACACAGTAACCACATCTCCAATATTTAAACCTTATAAATAAGAAGTTTCTTTTTCCTTAGAGGGAAGAAGAGAACTTAATCCATGGAACAATGCCTTTGGCGGTTTGTATTCTAGACTCTGTTTTAAGACAAATCACAACCTTCATTTCCAGATCTATTAAAATGAGTTCTGTTCTTCCTCCTCTGCTCTTCCATCGGTGCAACGGAAGCAATCCTACCGTCCAACTCACGAAGAGTGCTACAGCTTGCAAAGACCCGTGAAATTGTGTGATTTTGTTTCCCAGAAGTGAGTTCCTGGGAGCTCTGGTGGCCTAGTGGCAAGAAGCTGCAACTACAATCCCAGAGGTGCATGGTTCGAATACACCAGATGCTCTGCCGGGGAAGGAGGGACAATCTCCTCCTGTACCAGTCAGATCTGATTTGACGGTACAAGCACACAAAAATAATAAAAGAAAATAAAAAAAGAAGTGAGTTCCTCCACAGAAAGTGGTAGTAGTCTTCTTCCAGGCAATCCCTGCTTTTTCAGATGGTGTCTATATGGCTGAATCTGTGGAAACTATAAATAAAGACTAATGGAGTTTGTCACAAACATTCTCCACTGTCTCCTGTGGAGAACATGACTTAAGCCAGTTTATCGGTACAAAATAAGTTTTACTTTGCGTCTGCCAATCAAAAAGCATGCTTTCCTACGTCTGATTGTCAGAGAGACGGCTCAACTGATAATCTCTGAGCAGCTCAGGAGGGAAAGGAGAAGCAGCCATTCAGCCAAAAGGATGAAGTCAGCTCCCCTTTGTACCTAGCTCGTTCTGATTGGGGTAGGAAACAATCATGGGACTAGGATGGGCTGAGACAAGTCTGCAATTGCAACATTCCTAATGAGTGTAGACAGCTCATTTTAGAAACTCTGAGGACCGTCTTTAGAGAACTCAGGAAGATGCTTCCAGCAGGCAGCCACACACAGAAGTGCTGGGAAGTTCAAAGTCACCTCAAAGAGAAGTTGTGCAGGCAAACAGCAGCACTGTTCTTGTTAATGCCACAGAGCACAACTAACAAGGGCAAATTAAAGAAATACAGAACAGTCTACATTGGAGAGGGTGTATGGACTTTCCCCTTAAATTCTTCTATAAAGAAAGGAAATTTTTCTCTCAAAATGTAACCGTGATTGTTAGTAATACAAAGCAGTTAGACAACAAAGAATAGATTAGCACTAAATTCTCAAAACTCTCATTTAAATGAACAAAAGCATCATCTAGTGGCAACATCCTCAAACTGCAAGTATGTGTCAATTCGCATGTCTGCCGTAGTGAACTGCAAATTCCTCCCACAGCACATCCACGAGGGTGGTGCCCAGCTCGGGACCCACAGCAGTGTTTCTCAATATTAGCTGCATATTAAAATCACCTCAAGAACTCAGCTGCATATTAAAGTTATCTTGTTCTTCTTGTTGTTGTGAGCCATTGAGTCAAAACCAATCCACAGCTGATCCTCCAGCAGGTTCTGAGGCAGTTAATCACAGAAGAGGAGCCTGCCCGTCCTTCTCCTGCAGAGTAAGTAGCTGGCTGATTCGAACCATGTGACTTCAGGATTGCAGTGCAGATTCTTGCCACTAGGCCACCAGACTCCCTAAAGTCATCTAGAGAACTTGTAAAAAAGTACTGCTGTATTGATGACAGAGATAAAATGAAACACTTCTCAGTGAGGCCAAATGACAAACCAAACTGTTGAGTCCATCCTAAGTCATGGTGACCTTATTTATCTGTATTGTTGTTAGGTGCAGTCGAGCATGACTCACAGCGACTCTATGAACAGACATGAATCCTGTCTTATCCTGCGCCATCCTCATTATCTCTGATACACTTTAAGCCCATTGCTGTAGTCACCATGTCAATCCACCTCATTGGGGGTCTTCCTCTCTTTCACTGACCCTCCAATTTCCCAAACATGATGATCCTTTCAAAGGAATAATCTTCCCTAGCAATATGTCCAAAGTATGAGAGAGGATGCTTTACCATCCTTGCCTCCAAGGAGCACTCAGGCTGCACCTTTTCCAACACATACCTGTTTGTACTTTTGGAAGTTCATGGGATATTCAGTCCTTAACTCAAAGGTTATCAATTCTTCTTCTGTTACCCTTCTTCATTGTCCAGCTCTCGATGCATTGCAAGTGACTGAAAAGACCCTGGCCAGAATCAAGTGCACCTTAGTCTTCAAACTGACGAGAGGTCCCTGACAATGGTGTTGCTCAAAGCAATACATCTCCTTATCTCCTGACTGCTGATAACAAGGGTGTTGATTGTGGACCCTAGTAAGATGAAATCATTGACAGTTTCAATCCTTTCTTTATCTATCATGATGCTGGTTATTGGCCCACTGGTGAGAACCCTTGTTTTCTTGATGTTGAAAAAACTGCCTCAGAGGGTTTCCAAGACTGTAAATCTTTACAGAAACAGACTACCATATCTTTCTCCCACAGAGCTGGTGGTGGTTTCATACCACTAACTCCTTCGTTATCAGCCAAGCACTCAACACTATGCCATCAGAGCTCCTCTCAATAGAAGCAACCAATCTCAATAGACTAAGAAGTCAAGCAAGATAATACATTAAGAGGTATACTTGTAAAGGAAATAAATCTATATTGTGTCTGCACTTACCTTGGGTTTTGCACACAGACCAAAGTCAATCAACTTTAAGTTATGGTATTCATCAAACAACAAATTCTCCTGAGAAAACAAAGATATTTTGATAATTGTATACTGATTCCTTGTATCACATCCCCAACTCTATATTCATTTCTAAAAATCATTTAAGGTGCTTACAAATCTAAGCATAACAGTAAAATCTACTAAAATAGGAAGAACAAGCACAGGAGGAGAGAGAGGAGGTGTAAACTGTTAACACGCTAAGTTGCTAAAGGGAAGGTTGGCATATGTCATTTTCTCCCTGGTGCTCTGAGGTTCAACTTCAGAAAGAACAAATATAATTTGTACCAAAGGTAAATTTAAACCAAAAGAGCCCGCTCAAAATTAAAGGATCAGGTATAAACAATAGGAAAAGAACTATGACATTGCTGTATTTTGCCACGCCAATTCCAGGACCCTGACCTTGATGTCAAAACCCAAAACATCAAACTCACTGCCACTGGATGGATTCTTACTCAAAACCACCATGAAGGACAGAGGTAAACTGCCCCCACATGTTTCCCAAGGCTGTACACCTGTACGGAAGCAGACTGCCACCTATTCCCCCATGGATCAGCTGGTAAGTTTGAATTACCAACATTTCTGTGCGCAGCGCAACACTTTACTGTGTTCCCAGGGCTCCTGACCTGGGTACTAAGGAACTTTTAAATTCATGCTTGTCATTATCCTCATTAGTCAGAACCAGCAAACTTTAACAGTTTACTTATTTTTATTCTGTCCTTAAGATGAAGCATATGTCCATTCCACTAATCAGTCCTTTCTGAGAAATAAAGGAATTAAAATTAAAGGAAGATACAATTGGGAAAAGAATACTGAATGGTGCACAACAAGGAGATGATCATATCGATGAATAGACCTTCTTAATATTAAGTTCCTGTGTGCATAAAAAACTTTTCCATCACTGCAATCCCAGAGGTATGTGGTTCGAATCCACCAGATGCTTTGCTGGAGAAGGAGGGGGACAATCTCCTCTTGTGACAGTCAGATCTGATTTGATGGTATACACAAAAAAATAATAAAATTTAAAAAAAAAAACCAACAACAAACCTTTTCCAAAGAAAACCTACTGACTGGGAAAGAGACATTTGGCAATGACATCTCACACAGAGGTCTCATAACAGAAGTTTACAGAAGACTCGGGGGCCTCCACAAGAAAAAGACTGATAACACAATTACAAAATGGGCAAAAGATACGGAAAAACAGACATTCAGAGGAAGACATTCAGATAGCCCACAGACACAAGAAAAAAATGCTCAAAATCACTGACAATCAGAGAGATACAAATCAAAATCACAATGAGATACCATCTCATCCCAGTAACAGTGGCAAAGCTTAACAGCAATAAAGATTGGAAAGGATGTAGAGAGACTAGAACTCTCAAACACTATTGGTGGAATTATAAAATGGTACAACCACTCTGGAAGGCAGCCTGGCATTTTCTTAAAAAGCTGAACATAGAAATTCCATACAACCGATCTATTCCACCGTTAGGAAAACAGAGCTAAGATATAAACAGAGATTTACACACCAATGTTCACAGCAGTGTTACTCACAATAACAAGAACATGGAAACAGCCCAAATGTCCATAAACAAACGAATGGATTGAGAAGTTGTGGTACAAACACACAATGAAATACTATACAGAACTCAGCAGCAATAAATTTAAAAAATACTTACACAATATGGGAGGGGCAAGGGAGCATTAAGCTGAGTAACTAACTCAGGATCATAAAGACAAGTACTGCATAAGACCATTACTGTGAAAACAGAAGGATAACTAGTAACAAGTGCATAAATGTCCAAAGAGGGAAGGGGAGGAGGCAAGGGAGCTATGGGTGGGAAGGGAGGAAATCATGGGGTAGCAGAGTTCAGTGGGTGGAGGGAAGAAGTGAAGGAATTGGGAAAGAGCCAGTAGGGACATGAAAAGAAAGGTAATAGTGGGCATAGATCAATGGTGATTAATTTTATAAGGCACAATGTATGAGAATGATTGTTATAAAATACAATGTGAATGAAAAATAAAACTTTTTTTAAAGAAAGAATAATGAAAAAAAGAATGACTAGAAAATACTAAATAATACTCTGATTACAAAACCATTGACACTGTCACACAAATAAAAATTGGATGCTAAGAATAAATCCACCCACAAAGTCTACCAAAAGTCCAAAGTAAAAGAAGAATAAGTAATAAATTTAGAGTAGAACAGAGAAAAGGCAAATTCCAAAAGAGAGAGAACATATGGAAAATTAAAACTAGCAGGTTAGGGGAGCTCTGGTGGCCTAGTGGTAAGGAGCTGCAACTACAATCCCAGAGGCGCACGGTTCGAATCCACCAGATGCTCTGCCAGGGAAGGAGGGACAATCTCCTCCTGTACCAGTCAGATCTGATTTGACGGTACACTCACACAAAAACAATAAAA